GCTTCTGATGCTATCCAAGCATCCAAAATGCCGTTCGGGCAGAATAATCTTACTTAAACAATAACCACCCGACCAAAAAAAAAAGTGTCTCAGTTCAATTTATCAGATCTTGTCTCAGATCCGTATTTTAATAACACGTTGAATGGTTGTACTTAGAACCGCATAACTACTAAGTTAGTGAGTAAGAGAGAAATATAGATGTTTGTCAGGCTCGGTGTTCTAAGATATCAGTATTCGACCAATCGGTAAATTAATGTGAAACTGTAGAGGGTTTCAGTGAACTCTGTGACAGCTACCAATATCTCATAGCCAGTAAATTTGAATTTGAGGAACTGGAAGGAGAATGTGGCAATTTGATTATTTAGGGAAAAACACAACCACACAAACTTTGCCTATATTGTAGGCACTAGTGCAATAACAGTCACAACGGGCAAGAATTTCAGGTAATGTTAATCACACTTATGTGTTCATGGTCTGGGACAGTTTCGGGATAAGGGCTAGGTTAAATATCAAATATTTATGATAAATTCACAAAGTTTGTTGGAGATGCAAAACAAAGATATTTTGTTATTGTGACAATTTACTACTCATTTACTGAACATGCGCCTCCAGAAGACCAGCTAGAGTAGTTTGATCCCATCTCTTAAATGAAACTGTCAAATTTTTGAAAGAAGGAGATGTGAAACTACCGCAGCAGCTGTGTTAAAGAATAAAATAGTTCTATATAAATTGTAAATGTTAAAAGACAAATGTTTCTTTTTATTGTTGTTTGTTTCAGGACTACAATTATGCCAAAATGTTTCAATATTTTATTAGAACATATCTGTCTTTTTACCATTATTTGTATTCATCTAGTTTAAGAATAGATATTTTTATGCATTATAGATCTCTCGCCACAGGGCTACATTTCTCATTGGAATTCTGTGTTTCATGATGGTTAGTGCTATCTTTCAACATATGTTAAAACAAAAAAACAAACAAACAAAAAAAAAAGTTTGCGGGAATGGGTGTCTTATACATTTCTAAAAATTAGCTCTTGGTTTTCCAGTAAGCAGTTCTTATTTCTAAACGCTCAGCGTTTTATCAATGTGTTTTCAGTCAGCTGGTGGTGTGCACACGGCAAACAGTAAATGAGAAACCTGTAAAATTAATTTAACTAAGAAACTGAAAAACAAATGCTACCCCTGAAACCCTGTTTTGCTTACTAAATAAAAACACTTAGTTTTTGCAGCAATTGTACTACTATTAATGCTAAGAAAAAATATCAGTGTTTCTAATCAAAAATTACCTGGTGAAAATCCTTGCCACTGCTTTTACCATCGCCACTGAAATCCACATGGGAGAAGAGACAGCGTAGTAGATGCCTGTCTGCCTCAGGACCGTGACGATTTACAATCTGTGACAGGACAGGGAAAACATCAATACATGTGGACACATGGAGATATTTCCATACACTTCACACTGATATACTATAAGAGCTCTGTTGACAGAAAATGCACTTGATGTCTTTGATACCACTTACATGCTGTATTTCTTGCTGGCTGGCTCTGTAATTTTTCTTTGTTAAATTGTCCACCAGATAGCTGATTTGAGACAAAGCCAGCGAGAGCGAGTCAAGATTCATTGCTGGTTGGGGCGGAAGCAGGCGGCCGAGCACGGCGCAAAATCACCATTATTCCCCTTTAGTCACTTCAGTGATAGGTTACTTCTGCTCCCCCCCCCCAAAAGGTGTTAAAAATGTTGGCTTCCAAATGATTTTCCCGATCAGTGGCTCCCGGTGCTAGGTAAAGTCCTTCAGTTTAAAATCAAGTTCAGCATCTGTAATGAAAGGACAAAAGTTTATAATTGATTTTTTACATATATTAAACATTTTGCAATACAAACAAATAAAGACACATGAGACAGAAAGGGTGGAATTCCTCTGTAAACAAAGAAGTACTAAACTTAGAATGCTGATGTTTTACTTTCATGCAGGGTAATATTTACCATCCACTCACAACACAAAATATTGTGACAGGCTTTGAGGCCTACGTGCATGGCAGACCCGAGGTGCACTAACAACTTATTTTCACGTCTGCTGCTCACACATTTCTCTACTAATTCGGACAGTATGAGTTAAACCTTTGCAGCCGAGTATACCATTTTCACGGAGATATTGTACAGTTATATAAACTCATCGTGCCAGTAGCCTGTACTAGGCCTCGACTGTACGCCAATAGCTGGCTCACGGATTCAAAGCTAGTTAGGTTGCTCACCGTACTAACCAACTTCTCTGCTTACAATAGCATAATTACTACCGCTGTATCATCAATCAATACAGCAGTGCACAGCATTAAGAGCAATTAACCAGAAATTTCTAATGCCTAATTAATAGAGTTAAACTCACCCACTCAGACAAAGAGCAAGCTAATTTAAGGTAGCAAATCAAGACAGTAAAGTACTCGCAAGCTAACTTCACGTTATTGCGCGTAAAGCGGAGTCATAATTTTAGCCAGACATTTTAATGATATGCGGCTATGTTAGTTAATGGATTTAAAACAAGCGTCAGTGACCATACTCTTGTGGCAAGTGGGGCCATCTAGCTAACTACTTAAGCTAACATCACCATGACGCTGGTAAACACTTGCTAGGGTTAAGTTGAAGTTAATGTTAGCCTACATGTTTACTGGATAATTAAGTAATCTTTAACATTAACCGTTAAACTTGTATTCGTTTACTATGGCATACTTTAGGCCTTTGCTCTATATTAATTTCTCTTCTAATCGGTACAACTTGCCCGTGGTCAATAGCTAACGTTAACCTCTGTGAAATCTTACCAACTCCCTCTAGGCTACGAGCTAATGCTATCAAATTAGCATTTCCGTGAAGCTAACATCAGCAACACGAGCTTGTTTCAAGACGGGGTGTATGAATCTACAAAGTCAATTAACTATGTGCTTCAATACACATTTTCATACCAGCGTGACTTGCTAACAAATCACTAAGACCTCGAAACCGTTACACATGCCTTGGCCGTGAGCCTGTAGGCCGCGAGTATTGCGGATGGGTTTTGCGCGATCTTGCCAGCTAACATTAGCATTAACCTTGTTAACGTTAGCTTATTTCTATGGGCTCCGACTAGTCTATGGATTCGCTAACATTATAGTTGCAAGTGCTATCTTTTAACGACGCACAAACGTTTCACCGAGCTAGTGTCTATATTGTCTCCTGAAACAATATGACTAATATAATTACTGAAAACTACACTGCACGAGAAATGCGGCTAAATGAAAGAATTATTACTTTCTTGATGTGACCAATATGACAGCTGCTTTTCAGGAAATACACCTACCCCGCGCTGGTGGCTAACGGCCATCCTCCGTACAAATATCGTTACTTATGTGTTATATATAAATCTGTCGACGGTTGTTTACAAAATACATTATAAATCTCACCGTGCTTCCAAGAAAGTAATTCAGATGTTCATCCCTTCTTGTTTCTCACAGCAAACTTGACGAAATAGTAGGGTCGCTGTGCCTCCAGTACTGTTTGATTTTCAAAATAAAATGGCGACTGTCACCACCGCGGCGCGCTCACGGTTCGAGACGAGTGCGTGAGCTTATCCGCGCGACACAAACGTAAGGTGCTCGCCAGTAGACACCTGGGGCCTCATTTATAACCGTTGCGTACGCACAAAACGGTGTACCTCTATAAAAACAAACTTGACGGGAGAATGTATGTACCTGTACGGAAAATCTGACATATGCGTATGAACATATTGGACACGGGAAATTGGCGACGCAGACAGTGAGGCGGTGAAGCCAGATTGTTGAAATTAAATATGAGAGCCATCATACGTATAATGACACACTTCATAGCTCACGTTACTTATAGATCCACCTTATGATAAACATTCAAACCAATGCAAAGCTATTTGTGCTGGTGCTTGTGGTGGTCATAAGCACCTTTCAATTGTAAAAGCCCACGTGAACTCGTCAAATCTCCGTGCCATCTATTCATTCAGTTATTCCATTAATTCTAGATGATGGAAAACGAAGAAAAACTGTCACAGTTTTCTTGATTAAAATTGAACGTGTTTTTTGTTTCATAACTCTGCAAATACCTTGGTGTATGATAGGCCCATAAAATTTGAAAGGCCTATCAAAGGTTCTCCCTGTCTCCCTCAAGTCCCCCAACTTTATGGAAGTGTAATACATACAATTTGAATAATACATGTATAACTGCTTTGATTTACAATTCAAACATGGTAAAGCATTTTTTTTATCATTCTGCATGTTGACTTTGTACTTTATACACAGACCACACATGGATCCTAAATACATAGATGGATAGATTCTTCTAGTACACAGCACAAAAAACATTATGGTATATGTATTTCTCACCTGGCAGAAGCATCCACTGCTGTACATACCCTTTTCTCCAGAAGAAATTGTGATTTGGGAAAAAAAAAACAATCAAAAATCAAACAAATGAAAAAACAGTTCAATGATTTTTCTTTCTTTCTTTAAGGATCACTTTTTGGCAAATTTACCTTCATTGGACAGCGACAGTGTAAGAGTGAATCTAACAGGACTTTGCCTTCATATGGTGTGTCCCTGAATTACAAGTCTTCAGAGTGCCCAACAATGGAATGACATACAAACAATAATCCATAACTTAACCCTAACCTAAAGTAGAAAAAAAATGTTATAGCTTTTTTTTTTTTTATCCTGATGGACTGACCCTTTAAGGTTAATTACAGTGGGAAGTCATATCATGTATGTAGTGATGGGGATTGGGAAACCAGGAGCATCACAGAAGGATCAAATCATGATACATTGCTAGGAAGGTTCAAAGGCATCAGTTTTGTTCCAATTTTATTTCAGTCTTAACATCCTAGTCCGGTAGGTGGCGGTAGTATACACGGAAGCTGGCTAGTCAGGTCAGATCAGGACAGCTAGAAGAAGAAGTCCTCCACCGCCCCCTCCTTCTCAGTCTCCGCCTCCCCCTCCTCTCCGGTGCAGAGAGGGTTTAGTGGAGGCACTGGTGGAATAACGCTAGGAGAAAATATATTTCCTTCCTGCGATTACAAACTTTGGTTTATTTAGGCGGAGTTGGAGTGCAAGACAACATGTCGTCTTGGGCGAAATCATCTGCAGCTGCCCGGCGGCCACCAGCTAACCCAAACGGAAGGTAAGCCCTATGGTTCCCTGTAGCAAGAGCAGCATTAGCAGTTAGCATGCTAGGTAGCACCCGCAACACAAAACAAAACGGCATGGGTGCTACCAACCGATATACATTGTCCTTCTACAATTTAACGATAATAAATGTTAGCTATATTTGATACGGTCCTGAAAAAACTCATTGTGTTGTGCAGTGCTCAACAATTGCGTCTGTATCGGAGAGCAGCGCCTTACCCCACCAGAGAGGAGAGGAGTGAAGAGCTCAAGGATGCCCTGGAAAGGTACAAGCCTGTATATTGGATTAATTCAAAGCCACCGTTTCATAAGGTTAACCTGCTGTGTTTACATAGTAGTTAATGTATAACAAATTATAATCCAGTTACAGTGTTTGAGTAGACGCCTTCGCTGTTGAGATGCTTCCTATTCTTAAAGATGTTTTCAACAATGAAATAGTGGACAAGAATATGACATATTTAAACAAGTGACAGCACAAAACTTTGGTATATATTGTGTTTTCACACAGCGCAACGAAAGAACAAAAAATCTTGTAGTTGGTTCTATGTTTTCATTTTAGGTTAATTTGAAGGCAAACTGTGTCTGTATCTGTCTCAGAGAAAAAAATACTAATTTAGGCTCTAGGTTCTGGGCTTGGTCATATAATCAATTCAGTAATACCATATTGATGAACTGTTTCTGATATACTAATATATTAGTATATATACTAATGCAAACGTTTGCACAAATTACATATTTTGATGACGTCAATGCACTGTTACTTTTAATTTCATGACCTTTTAAGAAATAGAAAAAAATTAAACAGTAGCTTGCAAACAATAGTCTTTCTATTCTGTGCTTGTTGTTGCAATTAGTATTTCTGAAATTCACAACTGCAGATGTTCTATAATATTAGAAGAAGAAAAAAATGAGAAAAGCCTATAAATGAAATGTTTGCTACAGTGAGCTGAGCCATTATTTGTGTGTGCTGATCAAATAATATACCATGAGAATGCAATACCATTAACTGGTTCATTAATTTCTGAATCCCAGGCTCCTTGATGCTTGCTTTGCTATTGATGTTGGATTTAAACATTTTAAATAAAAGGAACTCTGTTTCTAAGTGTTTGCAACATATTCAGTCGTATCAAGTCATCACATAGAATGACCATGTGAATAGTTTGCATAGAAATGTCTCCTTCATTACAATGTGGCATTAAAAATGCACCTGTTTCACCACTTTTCTTTCAGTTATGAGGAACTAGAGCAAATGCAAAACTTCAGTGGAAGTGTAAAGTATGAGGCATACAAGCATCAGCCGAATGGTGAGATGTTGTCTTCATATTGTTCACTAAAAAAACATTAAGTTTGCACCACATAATTATTTTTTCTGTGCTTTTTTGATATGAGGCAGACAGAAATCTTGCACGCCAGGACATATTAAAAAAAAAAATTAATTCTTGCAAAACTTCTCATTATGAAAGAGCAAGCTGCATTTGTTCATGCATTTGCTTCAGTGCACATAGATGCACTTTTGATTGCAAATTAACCAAAAATATAATTTATCCACCTGCATATGCCCCTCTCTCTTTCATCCTCTACTCCTTCTACCTCCCCTTCATTGTGTCCCAACCCCGTCACCTTCCTCTAACCCCCAGCCAAGCCAGAGGGCTCCACTCCAGCAGACAGACGTAAAGCCCTGTATCAGAGGTTCTACAGACAGGTGCAGGAGGAGAGGAAACCGCCCGACTGCGTGGTGCTCTCTGTCACCAACCAGTGCCTGTGAGTACTTGCAGAGAAACAATAAAAATTACAAGTAGCTGAGGTGGAAATGTTTCACATGCAGGGTTTGATAGATTACACCTGACTGCCAGTCAGTGAGACAAGATTGATGGATGTCATTTAACTGTACATTTTTTTTAAAGGGTTAGCCAAATGTTCTTACATTTGTCTCTTGTATTTGGGCTCAAGCATTTATGTATGCCACGCATGCTCATTCTGGTGAGACTTGGCTTTAGTGATTCAAGTCCTCACTGACCCTGATCCTCTGGTTTTACTGGCATTTGTGATGGATACAACCTTCAAGACTTGCTAAATGCAAGTGTTATCTTGAATAGAGGAATCCAAGTTCGGCAAGGCTTAGATGCCATCAACATTTGATGAGTTTGTGTTTGTATAATGAGGACCTCTCTTGACTGACTACTCACAACAAAAATAAACATTGTAGGTGCTTGTGGAAACATACCACTTGTGATTATATAATTTCTGGCACTGAGTTTATTTATAAGTCTTTTAAAAATTAATATATCTGGCTTCTGCTAAAATTTACTTCTTATTATAGTTCCAACTCGAATCCATGTAGAAGTCAGAAGTCATGTTTCACTTAATGTTAATGAATTTGATACTTAGTTAACTTTGCTCCCACACATCTCAGTTTACCCTTCTGGCTGCCAGTCTGCTGCTGTTGATTTCACTGTATTAGTTTAAGAGCTTTGTTTGTGTTTTACATGTTGCAACCTATTAACATATTGTTGATTTTGGTCTTTTCATGGGGTTCGTTGGCAATAACAAAAACATAGAATATTGTAGTTATTATTTCATCATGATTTTTTAAGTTCAGTAGTATACAGCCAGCAAAGCTTGGTGACTAGCTATTTATACAGTATAAAAATGAATATTTTCAATATTTTCTATGCTAAGTCAGTGTAGTTGTTGTGGGAGTAGTGCACTAAGGACAAGCAGTAGTTGCCCAGCAGTTTTGGACTTGTTAGATTCAGCTGTTAAAGATAATCACTTTTTTTTGTACATTTGACAGCAGCACTCTCAGTGATCCTTAGGTATGCAAACTCTACAGTGAGGTGGTAAATCATCATCAGTCATGATGACAAAGAAAAGGAGGGACAGGTTATCCTGTTAAATGGCTTACAAGCACAGTTTGCTTTCTATGTTGTGTTGAATGATTATGTCTGTCCCATTCATTTTGATTTATGATCACTAACATGGTCCCTGTTTCTCTTCCTTACAACAATAATATAACAAAAAGACTCATGCCATTTTCCTTAAAAAATTTTCAAACTAGTTTGAGACAATGTGAATTTTGTTAAATACTCCGGCCGTCCTTCTATTGCCCTGGTATCCTCCGGAGCATACTTTGTTGTATATTTTGAAGTTCCACAAACACCAGCTCCAAATTTCACCCACTTCATTTAATATGATTTGCTTGCGCAAAAAGAAATTGTGAACATTAAGAGCTGTGTTTTAATGTGCTGTCAGCAGAGTGACTTTTCTAACCTCTAAGGTCAAATCACTATCCATGTTCATTCATATAACCAAGGTTATATCAATTTCTGCATATTGAAATTATGTAATCCAGGCTACCATTTCAACACAGTAAGTACAAACTGATTTCTCTCATTTCTCATGCACACACACACACGCACACACACATGCACACACACCTGTCCACCAAAGCTTCAAAGTTGTAGAATACAGTCTCCTATTGAAATGTCATTACACAACATTCATATTCACTGTACATATCAAATACAACTTGAATAACATTCTCACAAAAACAACCTTATTTCATCAAAAGCTGCTATTGTTGCATGTCACACTACACACACACAAGTCAAATGTTCTTTATTTTAAGAAAACATATAAATTTATCAGCCCTCACCCCATTACACAAAGCTTATTCTGTAACGCTAACACTGCTGCATCTAAGGTGCAAAGTAGTTGTGGTCAAAGTACATAAAACATTTACACTCACTACACAAAGCAATATCAAAGAGGTAATTCATGCACACGATACTCATACGCAGATGGCACCTGTGAAGTTGTGCCACATATGGCAGCTGGGTCTGCATGTCTGCATGATACTGTGACACAGTTAGAGCAGCTTACTTACTAGTGGCCTAACTTGGGGTGTAGTAATAGCACAACAACAAAATAGATTGAATTTATGAGAGTCATTGCATGCTTAACAAATGCTCGTTATACTTTTTAAGTGAGAATATACATGTAAATGAGCTGTATTCACTGCGATTGTAAATCCATATGTTTTGTGGTAAATTCAAGAATATAGGTCTAAGTATTAATGTAATTTTTTTCTTGTTTTATTTTTTTAAAAGCATTTTATGCTTTGACTGCAATTAATGTCACAGATATGTTTTTATAGTTTCACATGTTTATATATTCATTTTAATTTTTTTCTGGTGCCAGCTCTAATTTTACAAGGCTAATTTTCCCAGAGTTGCAAATTAGCCTTTTAAATAAATGCACTAATGACTAATACAGGTATGTGCTGTGAGAGAGTGGTATCTACAACTGTAGCTGCAGCTGCAATATTAAATGTATATTGCAGATTGTAAAGAAATACTACTTCGTAAACCTCTTTTGAATGGTAAACACTCTTTACCTCTGTAAGTTTGAATTCCAGACGTGATCCAGTTTCACTCTGTCATTCTTGTTGCTGGTACATTCCAAACAAAAAATATGGCCATCATTTCAAATTACACTTTCTTTGATTGGCTGCTGACGACAAAATGCTAGCACCAAGCAGATGCTGTGTTTTTTTTGTTTTTTTTTGGTTCACCCAAATTTTCTCAAACTGCTTCGCCTCCTTCTGTGTCAGTTGATGACTTCCCATAGCTCTTTCTGTATCTGCCTCTAACCAATTTGCACATGTATGGTTGTTGAATGTTGGAGCAAAGTGTGAATCTGGGAAGAAGCCCTTTCTCCATGACCCATGGGGACTTAAAAACATGTCATTTACCACTGATACTTAAGAAAGTTGTAATGTAAAATGCCACCAAACTTCCCCATGTCCAGACATTCATCCACAACCATATCAAATACCACCATTTAGCAGAGTGGTCTCAAAATTGCAAACTGCCAATAGCTGCTACAAATGTTTGAAGGATTTTGGTGTAGCTTTTTCCTTTGACAAAAGGACCACGGTAATTTGCATATTCAAAATGAATTCACTTAAGTCTTCCATATGAATAAAATACACTGTTTCCTGTTATATTACATAAACACATACTGCAACACTAAACACATCTATGAGAGATCCAAAAACTTGTGTACATGCCATTTAAAGCTACACTTGGTCCATACACACAGAATCCACCACCAAAAGGAATGATGACTCATGGTTACGTTTTTATTGGTAAAGCGCATTTTAAATTAAGTCATAACCTTCTGTTCCTCTCAGAGATATAATTTAGGTTTCTCTACATGCCAGTTGAGTCAATTAATATAGAAATGTCAAGTTAACAAAGTGTTTCTCTTCCTCTCAAAGGGATTACCCCAAATCGCTAAGCCAGTGCTTGCAGGAGCGTGGCCTGTCAGTGGAAATGCTCTACCTTCAGGCGGAATCAGGCCTAACCCGGGCCCTGCAGGATGTCCGAGCAGACGGCTCCCCGTTATGTATTCTGGTGGAGCAGACAAACATAGCTCTGTCCTCCTGCACTGTTATCATATTCTCAGAATCCCTCAAAAGTAAGTTCGTACCCCTCGTATTCCTTAAAATTTCCCCAGACCGCCTCAGTTACAACCCTCCATCCCTCTTCTAGGCTCAGTTCGGTCTAATGCGGTTCACGTTTTATGTTTATTCTACATCACCTTTGTAAATCCAAATAAAACCAAGAAATACGACCATTAAAACACAAACACGTAGAGTTCTGAAGCTACAATTCTGCACTCAACTCTTTGGGTGTAAAACGTTTGTTATTTAAAAGTCCCAAATAAATCATATCTCCTCAATATTCATTCACACATGTATACACATAATATGATCATCAGTGTGTTAATCTTTGCAGACTATCCACTGGCTAACATTACGTAACATTACAAACCTAACATACTGAATAAAGTCCAAAAGTAGCAAAGTATGTATGTCCAAGGAAAACTTTGCTTTCTTACAATTTGTTCCATTTTTGTAGTGCGGGTCAACAGTTCTAACGGGTAACATTTTAAATCACAAAATTAATTGCAGTCATCTATGAAAGCGGTGACATTGCTATAAAATGGGTCCCACAATGCAACAAATGCAAGTGGTCAGAGCAGTTATAAAGAAACCAAACTACTAGTCAAACTACTTGCAAGAGAAAATGAAGTCAAAAGGTGTAATTATGACACAAACTGTCTGTTGTAGACATTGTATTATTGTTTACAGACAGACTTCCTGTTTCAACTGACCTCACTTGCCATTGTGGTGCTCACTCAGTTTTTCTGTTTACTGTCGGTATGATCATCAGACTGTTCATGCTTGTTGCTGGATTGTAACTATTTTTAGCAATTATCATTGTCATGTTCTCACAGTACATTGTTATCATAACCTATAGAACAGATGACCCAAGCTACAAAAATAAAACTCAGGTTGTAATAAAGTGTAGTTTCCCTTGAGCTGACCCAGTGTGAAACTTCTATGCCGTTCACATTGTGAAACAGTTGCTGTGTGTCAAATCGGATACTTCAGTCGGTACACTTCCATGTACTACACTTTGTACACACTATACTCAGTGGCGTAATGTGCGAATTTGGACAGGTTGGTGTCGTCCCAAATCAAACACTGTCGTTGTGCACACACTGGAAATGACAAATGCAACATGTGACCACCGTTGTTGCCCGCCTGCCGACTGCGTTGCTAACTTGACTTCAATTGAGCGTTTTACTTTCCTGAGTGTGCTCCCTGTGTTATGTGACATAGAAATTAGGCTGCCATCGGCGCTGACAATGTTTACTCCTTCCTCGGTCGCCGTTTTCTCAATTTTGAAAATACCCTGGTGGTTTTTTCCGCTACGTGGCCATGATGGCGACCGTAGAAGGGTGAGAAGTGTCCATCGTTTTACACTAAATTTTTTGACCATTTTGAGTGTACCATCGGGGTACTTGTAGTGAACTGCATGTTGCCATACTGCCGCACTCAAAATATAAAGTGTGAGTATGGAAGTTTGCGAATTGAGACACAGCAAGTGATATGGTCAATATCTATATCGGTTCTGCATTAAACTGTTCAAAAAACAAAATCAACAAATTGCATTCAGAGCTGTGCTTCCCTACCACAGCTATTTCACAAAAACTGATCGCACATCATACACATGCACAAACAAATCTGCATAATACAAATAAGAAATTGGGATTATATAAAACAAGAACATCACAACTGTGCAAAGTGATGAAATTGTACTATGATGATGCTTTTCTGTGTAGCTCACAACAAAACAAATGAAAACCAAAAGATGACCTAAATACATTTTTCGTGTTGTCCACACAGGCAAAATAAAATCAACGAATGCATGCCCTAAAGCAAATATAATTAGAGGAATTACTTATTGTAGATCATTTAAATACACAGATAATCTAAAGTTTCATTGTTGTCTGACATCACATCTGAATCCATGTTACAGAAATTGTATGTTCAGAAATGTAATTTAAATTCAAAGTAACTGATAAATGTACATCTTTACACAAATTGCATGCCCCCCACCCCCACCCCCCACCCCCCAACAAACCACAACTCACATTCAAAATTACTTATCAAAGCACTACCTACCAAAGTACCAATCGCTGATCCCAACATTACATAAAACAAGAAGCATCTCAGTATGACCTGTAAGGACCCCACCGATTTCACTGGTATTTCTACGGATATTGTCTTGTCTTATTTCATCTCTTTGTCCCACTTCAGTCCCCTGACACCTCACCATTAACCCTCCCATTTTCCTCCCAGTCCATCGCAATATGCCCAAAGACCAGGCCATGGACTTTGTTGCAGCTGAGTACAGTCGTGGACTTGTCAAAGAGCGCCCGCCGAGGGACCCCGCAGACATAGCAGCACAGGCATCACAGCTGCTGGATGACTTTCTTGATCGAGAAAAGATCGAGCGCCACAGTGTTCCGTCTGAAACACGGCAGCTCCTCATGCTGTTAGCTGAGGGGGTGCATCTCTACCCAGAGGAGCTGGAAACCATCTCGGACTATGTCCGTTCCCGGCAGGAGCACATACAAGGTGAGACCCTGATTACACTGTAGAGCTGGGACTGGTGTTGTCAGTATTACTGATTGCAACTTTAACCTGTTATCCTCTGCTTTTCTGGTTGTTTTGGTCGTAACATCCCTCCTTATTCTGATTCTGTCATCTTTCTGTGTTTCTCTCTCTCCAGTCTCCAACATTGAGGGGGAGAGAGGGAACATGTTACCTCCGGGACTGGGAAATCCACCTCCTCTGCTCCCTACTCCACCTGGGCCCCCTCAACCTCAGTCTGCAGGCGGAGGGGGGCCCATGGTGGACCACTCCCCTCCTCCACCTGCACCTCTCTTGCCTTCACCAGGTTGGGC